GGCAGAGAATAGAGAGAGTATCGATTGCAGCTGCGCACTATTGATATCCTATGCTCGCTTGGAGTCTGCCTACTCGCCTCGGCTGGAAGTGCTCGGAGGCGCTGGTGGCTCGCCGCATTTTGTAGTTGAGAGCCAGAACCACGGTGAGTCCCGCTTTCTAATGCGGGAGCAATAATGCAACAATGTCGGGTGCAAACGTTATGATGACTACGCTCGCTTGCATTGGGACCAGGGGAAATTCCTTGGTTTGGGACCAACAGATATCGCTTCTGCACATTGTCTCCGTTTCTTGAATGATGTCGGTCGAAGCCATATTAGGTACTAGTACACTAGTATGCATATACGCTCGCCATTTGGCTTTTCTATGGTCCGCAACTCGTCGAGTCGAATGCATCGATAATATTCTGGCCCAGCAAGGGCCCTTTGACGGTGCCGGCCAAAGAGTTGCATGCGAGTACATGCGAGTGAACATGTAGGCTCGATGTACGTAAAATCGGGATCAAAAAGTTTATGTACACGATATACAAAGAAAGAGGAGAAAGGGATTGAAAGATCTTCTTCACAAATCGTCCACATTGTACGAGTATTAGTTTTTGAGAGACATTCGCCACAGCCTCTGAGATTCGATCAATCGCTGAGCTCTGTCGCCCATATGAAATGCCGACCACGACCTTGACAAACCTCTTGAATTCACAATGGCTCGACAATGAACGATCCTGAAGTGTCCACACAGATAGACGTCCACAACCCCGCACAGGTATCCAGATGTACATGCCGGATGTACGTGTTGTATCCGGAGGATCACAACGCAGCGCCAAAATCTCATTTTGACTTTCCCATTCATCGCCCAGCATGTCGACGACCCATGGCGCGATGAAGCATCAAGTGCTGCAGACTGCTACCAAGACCAAGCTGCGCGAGCTCAACGCCCACGAGCAGCGCCTGCGGACGCACTACGCGGCGCTGCTGGCAGCGGCGAACCACGCCGAGGCACCAATGCGCGTTCAGCTCGAGACGCTCTACGCGGGTGTCAAGGACTTGCAAGTCGTGCAGACGCCGTTGCATCCAGGACTTGAAGATTTGGGCGCGCTCACCGACTTTGCCAAGATCGACGTCTGGACGACGGCGCAGGCGGTGGCCCAACACCGATCGTCGCTGCTCAAGGAGATCGACCAACGCCAGTCGCTCTGGCGACACAACAAGCTGCTCGGCGCGCTTTTGCACGAGTCGTTGACCGAAGAGCTGGCGCCCGTCGATGCCGAGTGGGAAGCCGTGGGTGACGCGACCAGCAGCGGCGTCGGCGAGCTCACGGTAGCCGAGACACAAGCGCAGCTCGAACAATACTTCTTCGCACCAGCCCCCGGTGTGACCGAAGAGGCTGTCTTCGACTACCTCGAATCGACCGTCTTTGCCGAACGGCCCGAGTACGGCCGTGAAAAGTGGGCCCGTGTCCGAGATGCGCTGAGCTGCGTGCGCGCCGAGCTCAGCGAGTTCTCCGAGTCATTCCGTTTGCGCGCCAAGGTCTCGAGCGACGACGTCGTCAAAGCGGCGACGCTCCTGCTGCGGGACGCGGCGACCTTGGCCGACGACGTGGCCGACTTTTTGCGCGACGTCCAAGGCAACACGACGACGCAGCAGGAGCTCGCCGACGTGCTTACGATCGAGCTGAGCAACCTGACCGAGTTTAGCTGGCC